GCCAGGCGGCCTGGGCTCTGGTACCTAAGAGTTCCACAAGCAAAGCCACTTCTTCCCTCTGTGCCTCGGTTTCCTAATCTGTAAAATGGGAGTCATGATATGACCAACCTCAAATGAGTAAGGATTAAATGAGCTAATTCGTGTAAAGTGCTTAGAACAGCTCCTGACACCCAGCATACACTTATAAAACATTGTTATGTTTCCACACCAGGACAATGCTGAGAAGCTTGGCCTCCGCCCCTCAGTGTGATGTCCTATCTTTCTCATTGACTGCACAAGACCCAGCTTGCTCACAGCAGGCACCAGTGCATCAGTGCACATGTCACTCTCAGTCTACATGACTCTGAGACCAGAAGAACTAGACGGTGCCCAGCTACCATTGTCAACTACTTGGAAAGGGATCAAAATAGGAGATACTGGATAGAGTGGGATAAAAATATGGAACAAAACTCAAAATCATAAAAAAAGACCAAGGTTCACAGCCAGCTACCCAGAGGGACCAAGTAGTTGAACCTGTGGGCTTGGGACCATAGTCACAGGGGACATCAAGCTCAATTGACATAACATACTACACAAAACATTGTTCCACCTCCTACTTTGGCAAGTAGTAACTGGGATCTTAAAAGCTTGCAAGCAGCCATCTAGATGCAATGATAGGTCTCTCCTCATCCAGAGCAAAGAAGAATGAAGAAAACCAAAGATTCATGGAAACAATTAGTCCTAGCGACTGGTACACCATGCAATCCGCAGCCTATGTAACTATGAGACCAGAAGAACTAGATGGTGCCCAGTTACCACTGTCAACCATTTGGAGGGGGATCTATATAGGAGATCCTGGATAGAGAGGGAAAATGATGTAGAACAAAACTCAAAATCATTTGGGGGGGAAAAAAGGGGAAACCAGGTTTGCTGGTCCGATAGAGCCTGGTGGAACCACTGAGACTATGGCCTCCAGCTGCCCTTCAGATCTGGAATCAAACCCACACCTGTGGCTTCCAGCCAAACAAAGACAGGCATATGAGTTGAACATTTACCTGAAGTAGATGCACTCCTTGGAGAGATCAATCATGGGAGATAGAAGGGCTGTTTATGCACAGGGAGACAGCTCAGGGGGCAGGAGTACATGGAGGGATGGACACAGGGAAGAGGTAACTATTGGGAGGAAGTGGGAGAGGAGCTGTTGCATTGTGGTAAATTGTAGTCAATGTCATGAGACAAAATGTATGTGAACTGCTGTATGGAGAGTGAATTTGCTCTGTAAATTTTCACCCAAATCACACACAAGAAAAAGACCAGGGTTACTGATTTGATACAGACCGGTGAAACTCCCAAGACTATGGTCCCGAGTCACCGCTCAGGCCTGGAATCGAACTCACTCCTGTGGCTTCCAGCCAAACAACAGACAGGCCTACAAGGTGAACATTTACACCAGGTAGGTACACTCCTTAGAACAATCAACCATGGGAGACCAGAAAGGCAGTACTTGCACAGGGAGACAGCTCAGAGGGCAGGAGTGCATAGGGAAGTAGGACGCAGGGAAAAGGTAACCACAGGGAGGAAGTGGGAAGAGAGCTGTTACATTATGGGGATTGCAGTCAATGTCATGAAACAAAATGTGTATGAGCTGATGTATGAAAAATGAATTTGCTCTGGAAACTTTCACCCAAATCACAATTTAAAAAAAAAAAAAGAAAGAAATTTTAAAAGATTTGAAAATGCTTGTATTGCTGGGTGGAGAAAATGGATCTGCCGTGGGTTAGGGCCATGGAGGCTCACCTGGACCACCTGCTCACCCAGACCACCTGCACACTCCTTGCTGGGGTGGGGACTAGATGCAGGAGCACAGACCCCGTGGAGTATCTCAAGGCTCCTGCCAACGCCTGTCCCAGGTCAGGGCTCCCACCCCTCAGACGTTCCCTGCCCCCTGCCCTTAGCACCAAACCCATTGCCATGAAGTCTGTTCTGATTCCTGGCAAGCCTATGTGTTACGGAATAGAAGTGCTCCACAGGGTTCTCTTGGCTATAACATTTCTGGAAAGCCTTTTGTCCATAGCACCATTGGGTGGGTTCGAACCATCAACCTTTAGGTCAGCAAGCAATCACAAACTGCTTGTGCCACCCAGGGACCTGCGGCCACCCATACAGCCATTTATCACAGCACAGCACCCTGGATGGGCAGGCAGGGCTCGCCACCCCAGGCTAAAGGTGAGGCACTGAGGACAGCTTCCTGCCCAAAGGCACAGGAAGGCCCAGACAGGGCTGACTGCTTCTGCCCCTCCCGTTCCCCAGCTCCTACCTCTGGGGCCCAGGTGGGGTCTCGGTGCAGAGCACAGGCAGCGTCCCAGCTTCCCGTGCAAAGGCATAAAGGGTTAAACCCCAGGCTCCCCCCCTTTCCTCTATCCCATTTCTGATCCTGCTGACTCTGCCCCACTCCCTCCCCCAGCTATTCTGGGACAATGGAGGCAGCAGATGGCCCAGTCTCGTTCCCTCCACCGACCCTCAGGATCTGAGAACAACCCAAAAATCTGCTGCTCCTTCTAAAAGCAGACTTTCCACATGCGGGCAGGGAGAACGGTGATGATGGAGTCCACTCCCTCCCCCACCAGGCTGTGGGCTGGACCACCCCCACTCAGCTGATGTCCCACAAGCCCAGCCTCAGGTCAGCCCAGAAGGAAAGGAGGCTTTGGAAACTTCTGGTCCAAAGGAGTCCCCATCTGACCACCCCCATCCCTCCATGGCTCAGGATCTCACCTCCTTCTTCCCCGACACCAGACCCCTACTGTGACCCCAACTCCCAACATGACTGGGCATGATGCGGGGAGGAGATGTGAGCTCTGACCTCCACCCCGTGTGCACCACCATGCCCGAAACTTCACTACAATTACTCTGTTGTGGTTGTTTCTGGCGGTGGCTTTTAATTCATAGGAGTGTATTCTCTTACAATTTGGAGGCTTTAAGTCCGAGTTCAAAGTGCCAGGCTCTAGGGGCTGGGTGAAAGCCCCTTGACCTTGGGCCTCAGCTCTGCCTCTTGCTCCCGGCCCCCTGAAGCTGGAGGCTTTCTTCACTCAGGCAGCTGCTGGCTGCTGAGGCTGAGAGACCCAAGCTCAATAAGTGAAAAGGCACCGTCCCAGTATTACTAAACCACACAGCAGGTCACTGATTCAAATCCATGAAGAGTCCCAAGATCGACAGACAACACGGTAGGCTGCGAACAACGACTCACGACTCAGCTCTATGCAGGTTTCAAGCATGCCAAAAGCCAGAGACCACCCCCCCCCGCCCCCAGCTGCTCCTTATACACTGGGAGCGGACCACCTCCCTAAGGCAGCTACTCAGCTGCTCCAGTAGATCCCACCATGGAGGTGATTGCCAGTCTCACCGTGGGGAATACTACATCCAGCTGCCCAGCCAGTCAACCAGGCCCAGCCAAGTTGACATGTAACCCTAACTACCACACTCTCATTCATTCCCACAATCTCTGTGGGCCCCAGAAACCTAAGGGCACTGCGTGTATTGAGCACCTATGTTGGCCGTCACATCACCCCCTCGTCTACGCCTGAGGCTGAGTCCCTCCTCTCTGATCTCTGCTCTGCCCTCTGATTCTCTGAGCCCTTCCACCCAGGCCCTGAGGTCAGAGAAAAGGAGTAAAGAGTTGCAGCACACCAACACCTCACTGTACCCATACATGGTACATGTGTGCATCACGCACACACGTGTGACACATGTATGCACAAAAACATACACTACATACACACCCTTATGCACATACTTATATAAAAGGGTACACACCACCCACACACCCATGTACACCCTCACACACCCTGATAAGACACAACACACATACACTCCAGAGGCTCTGTGCTGCGCCTTCTATAAACATTGTATCATTTCATCCACGTATCAACATGGGAGGTAAATATTCTTTTTCTCATCTACAAGATGCACATACAGACCAGATAGATCAAGTGGTTTGTCCAAGGTCACACAGCCAGGGAGGGAAGAGCAGGGCTGTCTAGCTCCAGAGCCTGCGCCAACATCATCAAGGTCTCACAACCCCTCCCCCCATGGAAAAGCCACCATGACAGACAGATCAGAGACTCTGCTCCAGCCAGGAACACTTTGGCTGCATGTAACAGAAAACCCAACCAGGAGAGGCATAAAGAAATAGAAATTTAATCTTCTTACAGAATCAGAAGCTAGAGGGGGCAGCTGTGCATGATTAGCTTGGTCTTTCCTTCATGGTGGCAAGGTGGCTGCCTCACATCCAGCCATCGCGTCCACATTCGAATCAGTAAGATAGGGTTTGGGGCTGCCAAACCTCTCCCAGAAGTCTCTCTATTGACTTTGCTTACTTCATATTGGCTAGAGCTGGATCACATGGCAGCCCTTAACAGCAAAGGAAGCCAGGAATGTGAGCAAAAGGATCATCGTGATTGGCTGGGACCCATCATCTCGGTCTGGGCACGTTGAGGCTTCAGATAAAATTGTTAGCCAGGGATAGGGGTGGGGAGTAGGAACAGCAGTACCTGCCTCGGACCCTTCATCTCACCCAGGTCCCTTCAGTGGTTGGAAATTTTTCCAGGGTAGCCAGGAGTAGGTGGCCCAGGATTCGAACTAGGGGAACAACCGAGAGTCTAGAGCCTGGAGTGGGGGCCAGGCCCCACCCAGGGGCCCATGTCATTCTTGGAGGGTTAGGACCTCTGGGCCTCAGCCTGGCTCAAACACCCTCCCCGCCTTTGTCCAGTTCAGCTGCCCAAGGCTGGTGGGAGCTCAGCCCCTAGGTCCTCTCTGGCCCTCATCTGGTCTACTCTGTCCTTGGACTGCCCAATCCATTTCCCAGGGGCCTGGGATGCCTCCAACACCAGCTGCCATCCAGATCCTAGGTCTGCCACCACCTGGAGGCTGCCAGGGACTACATTGCCAGGGGCCCCCAGGGCTACCTTGGGGGGCTGAAGGGCAACCAGAGGCCTTGGCCTAATCTGTGCCCAGCAGGTCAGGGTTCACCGGGCCACCAGCTGCGGACACCACGGTGTATCTGGGAAGAGAAGACAATGTAGGGAGCGAAACCTGTGGAGAGACCAGAAATGAACAAGATGGTCACCCCACTGCTACCCACGCCCCAGGGCTCCCAGGGGCCCCACAGCACGGAGAGGGTTCAGAGTGGGGACTTTCCACCTTGGGACTATTGACACCTTGTGCTGAATAATTCTTTGCTGTGGGGGTTGTCCTGTATGTTGTCAGATGGCCTCTACACTCTAGATGCCAGTAGTGCCCCCCACCAAAAAAGAAAAAATAAAATGTGACAATCAAGTGTCTCCAGACATTGCCAAATGTTCCCAGGGGCTCGGGGGGTATAAAATCACTCCTAGTTGAGAATCACTGGTTTAGAGAAACTTCAAGGCCAGAGAACTTAGCTGGGGTCAGACCACCTGACCACACCTATCTTAGTCTCCAGTTGACTCCAGTCCTGTTAGACAGGAACTTATGGCTCCTAGACTCTTCAGACTTTAAGGAAATTTAGCATTAATTCTTAAGCCTCTTGGCAGTACAACCATGGCTTGCATGCCTCCACGGACGGGGAGCTCACCCCATTAGAAAGCAGCTCTTTCATTTCTCTTATATTGAACCAAACTCTGACTCTTTATTCCTATGTCTAACTGGCTTGATTCAGCCCTGGCCCCTGGGGCCCTGAAAAAAGTTGAGAGTCCTCTACCCCAGGACAGATAGCTCTGCAGAACTTTAGAATCAGGGTCTTGGTTTCCCTAGGGGTTACACACCTCAGAATAAATCCAAAGTCCAGACAGAGCCAGCAAGGTTTGGGAGAGGTCCTTTGCTACCTCCCCAACCAAACTTGATGCCACTCTCCCCTCCCCATCTTTCTCCACATTCCAGCCACACTGGCTACTTTCACTTCCTTGAGTAGACCTTGTTGCCTCCCGCCACCAGGCCTTTGCATAGGCTGTTCCTTCTGCCCCGAGTTTCTACCATCCACCCCTTCTGGCAACTCCTGCTCATCCTTCAGGTCTCAGCCTACATGGCATCTCAGACAGGGCCCTCCTGGACCAGTCTCCACCCCCAATCTATATCAGGGCTCTTTCTTGCCCTTTCCCATAATGGCCTATTCTCCCCCTTCATGGCACATGTCCGAATCTACATCTATACCATCAATCTCTATATATTGCTGCTCTCTGCCCATCATGACAGTGTCTCGGGCCCCTCATCTCCCAGCACCTCCTCTGGACGACTCGCTGCCTCGCCAGTGGGCCCGAGCTCACTCTTCCCTTTCCCCACCATCGCTTCCCTGACTCCCTCCCATCCTCCCAAGGGCAGAAGCAGGGCTCTTGCCCACGTTCCAAGGCCCCCGCTGACAGGGGCAGGAATGGGAGTAGAGGGATCATAGGACAGTCAGGTTACCCAGAGATGGACCACAGGAAGGAGGAGCGCCCCATGGTGGGAGGCATGCAAGTGGAAGCCAGCCTGTTGCTTGGCAGAGATGCTGGGAGGGGTTCAAGCACCAGTTCTAGAGTTGGTCTGTCCAGCCCAAGTCCGTGTGTCCTCCCGCAGCCCTCCCCACCCACCACTACCACCCCCAGAAGCACAGGCCATAGTTGGCCAGGGTGGGGGGGAAGGTAAATGTGGGTAATTGGCTGAGATGCACTGAGATGTCACTATACTAACTGGATGCTGAGTTGAGCAGCCCCCAATCTCCCTGCGGCCTGATATGGGCTAGAACTGGAAGGCATCTGGGTAACATTTAGCCCCATTCCAACCCCTACCCACCCCCGAAGATCTGTCAACAAGTACCAAAAAAACCAAAGAGCTTAAAAAGAGAAAAACAAAATTCCCCAGCAGTGCCAGAAGTTGCACTATTAATGCATCAGTGAACTTCCAGGAGCTCCGGAAGAGTCCAGGGGGTCAGGGCCGGATGAGCCCTTCAGATCCTCAAGTTAGAGATGGGGAAACTGAGGCCCACGAGGTCAAGGCACTTGCCCAAGGCCACACAGCAAGCCAGTGGCTTGCCACCCCCAGCTCTCCACTCCCTCCCCCCAGTACCCCCACCTTTGGGTATCTGGACTCAGCCCCACACCCTGCCTCCTATCCCATGGATTCAGCCCCTAGACTCACCTAGAGGGGTCCTCCTCCGGAGAGAAGGGGCCCTGTAGCTTAATGACGTTGAGTTTCCCCTCAAAGACACCATAGCTGAGGGTGACCTGAACAGACAGAAAATGAGAAGATGGGCGCTGGGGGTGCTGTCCCACAGGGACCTCGGCTAGCCCAGGAATTCCCACTGCCCACCAGGGGGCAGCATTTGGCACAGGTCGAGAAGGCTCAGAGCAGCTCCTTCTCCTATCAGCCTGCCGCCATGCCTGAAATTCTACCACGAGACAGAAGTGCTTCACCAAAAGCCCACCACTGGTGCTTTAAAGCTTGTGGAGCACGTCCACACCCATAATTCCATTTTCCCCAGAGGTCAGGTTACCTGGGAGGCTGAGACAATACCCACATCCCACAGATTAGGAAACTCAAAGAGGTGAAGTTACCTTTCCAGTAAGTTATGCAACTGGGCTAGAACTGAGGTTTTCTGTAACTCATCGAGGGTCTTGGCAAATCCCTCTGTACCCCAGGCCTCAGGTTCCTCTGCTCTGAAATGAGGGGTAGGATACTGACCCCCAGCAGAGCAAAGTGGTTAAAGACTGTGGGCTTTGAGGTCACCCAGCCAGGGTTCAATCCTCTCCTGCCTTGTATTAGCTGTGTTCCATGATAGTTCAGCTCTCTGGGCCTCAGTTTCCCCATCTGTAAGATGGGGATAAACTCAGTACCAACCTCATGTGAACGCTGCCAGAACCACAGAGTTGGAGAAGGTCAGGCCCCTCGCATGATGCGTGTGGAGAAACACAAAATGTTTAGGTGCCCTGATGGTGGCTTCCCAGTACCCCATTCCTGGCTCAAGCCCCTCACTCAGGCTCTGTGGTCCTAATGGGACCGACCTGCACCCCAGTTCCAGCCTGGCCAATCAACACTGATTCCAGGGGCCATAGAAGGCAAGTCATGTGACCCAAGCTGACCCATCAGACCAATGAGCACCAGCGCTGGCATCCGGGGAGGACTCTCTTCCCACAGGTGAGGTGGAAACCTGGGGCTGCCATCTTGCCAGCATGAGAAGTGACCTGCCTGAGGATGAGGCCAACAGGGAAGAGAGTACACAGAAGGAGACAGAGTGCCAGGATGCCATCTGAGTGCCCAGATCCAGCTGACCCGGGGAGCCAAGCCCTCAGCTGCTCAGTTATGTGAGCAGATAAACCTCCTTCTTGCTTAAGCAGTCTGTACTGAGTTTCTGTCGCTTGCAACCAAAAGGGTTCTGACCACACAGCTGGATGGAAGACCTCAAGGGTCTCCCTATCAGGCCCATCTATGGGGCTGGAACCCATGGGTTCCAGGGCAACATATGCAAGGCACACCCAGGTTTACCTATAAGCACCTGCCAGGTGGTGGGATGGGGCCCCACTGCTCTGCCACCTAACATTATGCCTCAGAGTCTCCATTTAAGGCAGGTTTCCAAGTAACCTGGGGGAGGGGATTTAGAATGAAAAGCTGTGACAGTAAGTGTTTATGAAGGAGGGGCTGCCCACAGGGAAATTCAAGCCAGGGTTGCTCTGGGCCTTGGGGACAAGGCTGGCTAGGAGGGACATGGGGAAAGTGACAAAATGGAGGAAGGACAAGAGGAGGCAGAGAGGGTAGTGAGAGCTTGGAGATAAGCTTCATCCATCTGTGTAGGTCAGATGGCATTTGGGGACCAGATCAAAGACTTTTTAGCATTGTAATGCTGGAGCCTTTCTGGGTTAGACTTGGAGGGCCCTGAGTCCCCCTGGACCTGTTTTCCCACCCACAGGGGATGGCCCAGGCCTCACAGACTTCCAGATTGATTTCAAACACCAGGAGGGAGGGGAAAGAGAGACCCCCATGTTCCTTTAGGGGGACACTGCCTCACAGGCCCCGCAACCCTTCCTCATCTCTGCCCACCTCGAGGCTGGCTCACCTGCTCTGGGAGCTGAGCTGTCTCTAGCAGCTGCAGGGTCTCCAGGTGGGAGTGGAAGAGGTGGCTGGGCTGCAGGTGGCCACCCAGCTTGCACTCGATGATGTAGCCCACGGTGCAGTCGTCAGGCAGCTGGATGAGGGCAGATGTGTCCATGAAGTGGGGGCCGCTGAGGGACAGAGGGTGCTGTGGTCACCGGTCCAGAGCCTCAACACCCAGAGCCCTCCCCACTCCCAGGACCAGCCGGTAAAGCAGAGGCTGGCTGCAGCATCTCCCTCCTGTGTACCGTGTGACCTGGACCAAGCGGGGAACCTCAGGAGCATCAGTTTCATCTCCTGTGAAAGGGGATGATAACGGCCCTGCCCCACAGTGCTGCTGTGTGGGTTCAATGGAAGAACAGTAGGCAAAGCCTCTTATAAATGTATCCTTTCTTTCCCCCTCTTTCTTTACAGTCATTCATTCATTCATTGTTGAGCACCCACTGGGGTGCCAGATACTGTGCTAGGGCTGAGGATACAGAGAAGAGATGAGAAAGCAATGTGACCTGCCCTCAGTCACGGCCCCCATTCCACAGGGGAGACAGACATACAAGCAGCCAGTTCAGAGTAGGATTGGCACTAAGTCCGAGAGAAGCACGCGGCCTGTAGGGTATAGGGAGAGTGAGGCAGGCTTCCTGGAGGAGGTGGCAGTTGCAAATGCAGTCTTATAGGATGAGCTGGAATCAGCCAGATGTTGGAGGGAGGGAGGCCCAGTGTTCCAGGCAAGGGCATCCCCACCCAGCACACACCCCATCAGTGCCCCTGGAGTCAGGACTGCTTGGTATGGTTGGGCAGAATGCCCCCTGCACAGGACACCTGGTCAGGGGGGCAAGTGGGAGTGGAAACCCAGCCCCGGTTCCACGATACAGGCTGGGTGTCTTAGGCTACACCTGCCTCGGTGCTGTTGTGTACCCTCAACTCAATTGCAACTCCTAGGGACCCTATAGGACAGAGTAAAATTGACCCATAGAGTTCTCCGGGCTGTAATCTTCCGCACACCAGGCCCTTTCTCCCTCAGAGCCACTGGGTGGGTTCAAACCACCAACTTTCTGGTTGGCTCAACTACTGTGCCTCCAGGGCTTCTTTGTCTTCCCAGAGTGGGATCCTTTTTCTGATTCACACAAAGGTAACACAGAGGTGGGCAGAAGCACCCCAGGCACAGGAACAACCCCGGGTCACGTGCACACACATGCTGTGGACAGACCCTCGGAAAACATGCCCACTATCACCCCCAGCACAAAGCTTCCCAGGAGACCCCTTCTCACCTGGGGCTGGGCAAGGCAGGATGGCATATTCTCACCGCCATCGAGTCAGTTCTGACTCATTGAGACCTCCACTGGGTTTCCAAGGCTGTAAATCTTTACAGAAGCAGACCGACCCATCTTTCTTCTGCAGAGTGGCTGGTGGGTTAGAACCACCAACCTTCTGGTTAGCAGCCAAATGCCTTAGGTGAGTAGTGAAGCACAAGGACCTTGGAACCAAGCCTAGGGCATAGATGACCTTGGACCAGTCACTTGCTTAACCTCTCAGTGCCTCAGTTTCTTTAGCTGCACACAGTGAACTAACACCACCTTCCTTCCCTGGTGCTGTGAGACTCTAGGTGAACACAAGTCCTGGTTCAGAGTCTGCCCTTAATACAAGGTAGCGACCACTGATGCTGTCGTTAATAATAATAACAGCCTGCCCAGGAAGTCCACTCCTAGGTATATACCCAAAAGACTTGAAAGCAGAGACTCAAAAAGAGACCTGGACACCAATGTTCATGGCAGCAGCACTATTCACAATCGCCAAAAGGCAGAAACACCCTAAATGTCCATTAACAGATGAATGGATAAACTAAATGTGGTGCCTACAGACAGTGGAATACTACTCAGCCAGTAAAAGGCTTAAAGTCTCAATACATGCTACACCATGGATGGAGCTGGAAGACATTATGCTGAGTGAAATAAGTCAACCACAAAAGGACTAAGATTATATGACCTCACTGATATAAAAAGGCAAATGTGTAGAGATGAAACATTATTCATTGTTACCAGGAGTGGGAAAGAGGGAAAAGGAGGAACAGTGATCAAAACATCACATTGACTAAGGGTAGGCTTGCACAACCTGTTATAGTCATGGTCATCAGTAAGTTGTACACCTGTAAAAGGATGACTTGGCAAAAGCTGTGTGAGACAAAAACATAGTTCTCCATCCTACTTTGGTGAATAGCAAGTGCGGTCTTGTTTTGTTTACTTTGTGCCACTCTAAAAGAAAATACCACAAATGAGTGACTTTAACAAACAGAAGTTTATTCTCTTACATTTCTGGAGACCGAAAGTCCAAGCTCAAAGTGCCAAGCTCTAGGGGCTGGGTGAAAGCCCCTTGACATTGGGGTCTAGTTCTGCCTCCTGCTCCCAGCCCACTGGAGCTAGAGGTGTCTCTTTACTCAGGCAGCTGCTGGCTGCTGAAGCTGACAAGCCCAAGGTCAACCAATAAAATGACACAGTATCAATATTACCAAACAACATGGCAGGCCACTAGCTCAACTCCAAAGACAGTCCCAAGATTGGCAGGAAACTTGGCAGGCTGCTGAATGAAGACTCGGCTACACGCAGGGTTCAAGTGTGCCAAAAAGCTGCAGACCTTCCTCAAAGCTGCTTCTTATGTTCTGGAAGCAGACCATATCCCTGAGGCAGCTACTCAGCTGATCTAATATTGTTCTGGTTACCTAGTACCGCTCTGACAAGAATATACCACAAATTTGATGGCCTTAACAAACAGGAGTTTATTCTCTTACAGTCTGGGAGGCTAAAAGTCCAAGTTCAAAGTGCCAGGCTCTAGGGGCTGGGTGAAAGCCCCTCAACCTTGGTTGCAGCTCTGCCTCCTGCTCCCGGCCCACTGAAGCTGGAGGCTCTTCTTCACTCAGCTGCTGGCTGCTGTGGCTGACAGACCCAAGGTTGACAAGTAAAAAGGCACAGTCCTGATGTTACCAAACCACAGGGCAGGCCATTAACTTAAGTCCATTGTAAGTCCCAAGGTCGGTAGAGCATGGCAGGCTGCTGAGCAATGACACGGCTACATGCAGGGTCCAAACGTGCCCTATGCTAGAGACCATTCTAAGGCTTCTCCTTATATACAGGAAGCAGACTACATCCCAAAGGCAGCTACTCAGCTGCTGGTGGTAGATCCCACCATGGAGTTGATTGCCAGTCTCATCATGGGGAATAACTACCACCAGCTGCCCAGGTACTCAATCAGGCCCAGCCAAGTTGACACACAACATAACCACCACAAGTAGATTCCACCATGGAGTTGATTACCAATATCACCATGGGGAATAACTACATCCAGCTGCCCAGCCACTCAAAACCAGGCCCAGCCAAATTGATACATAACCTTAACTACCACAGGTCTTAAAAACTTGCAAGCTGCCATCTAGATGCAACAATGGGTCTCTCCTCAACCAAAGCAAAGAAGAATGAAGAAAACCAAAGATTCATGGAAACAATTAGTCCAAGGGACTAATGTTGTTGTTGTTATGTGCCGTCGAGTTGGCCCCGTCTCATAGCAACCCCTCCTTGGGTTTCCGAGGCAGTATCACTACGGAAGTAGGATTGCCCAATCTTCCTTCCGAGGAGTGGCTGGTGGGTTTGAACCGCCAGCCGTCTGGTTAGCAGGCAAGTGTCTTAGCCACTATGCTACCAGAGCTCCCAAGAGACTAATAGACTATGCGAACCTCAACCTATGTGACCGAGACCAGAAGAAGTAGATGGTACCCAGCTACCACTGTCAACCACTCGGAGGGGGATCTACGTAGGAGATCCTGGATAGAGTGGGAGAACAATGTGGAACAAGACTCAAAATCATTAAAAAAAAAAAAAAAAGGACCAAGTTTGCTGGTCTGATAGAGCCTGGTGAGACCCCTGAGACTATGGCCCCTAGTTACCCTTCAGGTGCGGAACTGAACTCACCCCTGTGGCTTCCAGCCAAACAACAGACAGGCATATACCGTGAACATTTCCATCAGGTAGATACACTCCTTAGAATGATCAATCATGGGAGAATAGAAGGGTAGTATTTGCATAGGGAGAGTCAGGGGGCAGGATGCATAGAAAAAAAAGGACACAGGAAAGAGGTAACTATAGAGAGGAAGTGGGAAGACAGCTGTAACATTGTGGGGAATTGCAGTCAATGTCATGAGACAAAATGTGTATGAACTGCTATATGGAAAATGAGTTTGCTCTGTAAACTTTCACCCAAATCACACACAAAAAAAGTGTGATAGATACATTTACAATGAAAAAAAAAAAAAAAAAAAGTAGCTGCTAAGGCTGCTTGTGTACAGCCCAATACCTCATGGGCTTTGGTTCCTTGGTTTGGAGGCACAGGATCATGGTTTCATAGGACATCCCGGTTAATTGGCCTGATAACACTTTTCCATTTCTGTTCCACCTCCTAGTTCATTGTATAGTGCCTGGGGTTTAAAAGCTTGCAAGCGGCCATCCAAGGCCCAACAATTATTCTCTATTCACTTGGAGCAACAGAAGGAGAGTCAGGAACAGGAGGAAGAAACGGGATGTGTAGCTAACTGACCCCATGGACACCTACCTCCTTTGCCCCGAGACCAGAAAACCTGGATGGTGCCAGGCTACCGCTACTGCACATTTTGATCAAAGATGCCATAGAAGAACTCTGATCAAAAGGAGGGAAATGCTGAAAAGAATTTCAGATTCTCACAGACTTTCTGGACCCATGGAGGGTGGATGAACCCTGGAAACTATTGCTCTAAGATAATCTCAAAACTTAAAACAAAAATACCCCCCTGTAGTCATCTTAAAACCAAATACTAGGTTAGCTTAACTAGTGAAAAGGTCTGCCTCGAACAATGCATTCCATTAAGAACTATCTACAGGGAATCGAATTGACAACAACTCTAAAAATTAGCCAGGAACTTTAGGGGCAGTGAGTTTATGTTGATGAGGGCAGAACATCCCTAAAAAGGAGAGTGAGAATGGTTGCAACACTGTAATACTACAATCAGTGCTGCTGAATTATACACACAGAAGCTGTGGAATTGGCATATGTTCAGGTGGCATAGTGAATAGGGCATTGTGCTGCTAACCAGAAGGTTAGCAGTTCAAACTCACCAGTCACTCCATGGAAGGAAGACAGGGGAATCTACTTCCGTAAAGATATACAGCCTCGGAAACCCAATGAGAGTTACTATGAGTCGGAATCGACTCAATGGCAATGAGCTTGTTCTCAACAAAAAAATAAATAAATAAAATTTAGAAGACAGAAATAAAGTAAGTCTCCCCGGGCAGAGGCCAGGCCTTTGCTTCTTCCTCTCAGAACACCAGTGCCCTCACACCTCAAGCCGAGGGCTTCCACTTGTCCTAGGACTCTATCTGGGGCCCTCAAGGAAGGGGAGTTCAGTGCTCTCTCAGCTCAAATGCCACCTCTTCCAGGAAGCCTTCCAGCCCATCCTAACCAGAAGGCCCTTCTCCATTCCCTGAGTGCCCGCACACGTGCTCTGCACTTCCCCCATGGCACTCCGGGTCAGAAGAGAGCTGCAAACCTTCCCAGGTGCCGCCCAGTCATTTTCTCATTGAACCCTACATCAGCCACTGCTGTCCTAGCATCAGATGAGGGGACTGAGGCTTCCAGAGATTACATGGCTCGCCTGTGTGGCAGGGTGCCTGCCTTCAATCGTGTGCTCCCTGAGGCAGGGGTGGTAGGTGGCCTGCTCACCACCAACCCCCACGTCTGGCTCTGGGACACAGAACAAAGGATGGACAGTTTCTCCTGAGCTTGTTCCCAAACCTTCCTGCCACATACATACACACACACACACACACACAGCAGCTGCCCCTGCCCCACCCTCCTGCCCATGAGTCTCTCCTTACCTGGCCCAGGGGGCCATCTTCAAAGCCAGTTTGCGGTTGATGCAGAAGCCAGCACCTCCGGTGGCAAACCAAAACCGTACCAGCCTCTGGGGAGAGGAGGGTCAAGGTGCAGGGGACAGCCAGGCCACCCTTCATCCCCACCGGCTTGACTCAAAATCTCTTAAAGTCACAGTTCACTAGACTCTCACTACAGTCTGGCATTATTATGCCCATTTATAGATAAGAAGACCTAGCCCCAAAGTCACATAGCCAATTAAGAATGCTGGGGTCACAGATCAGACCCAAAATCTGTCTACATTCTTGTTAAAGGAGTCATATATCACTTCTGTTTGCCCAACACACCTTCCCTCCTTCCCCCTGGGAAAGGTCTCTACCTCACTCCCTATGGTTCCAGAGGGGCTGCCAAACACAGTACCCACTCCCTGAGGAGATGGTCAGGTGCCCAAGGAGTGGCTGATCACAAAGCCCCACCCTCTACCCCAGTGATTGGCTCAGAGATAGGCACATGACTCAAGCCAGCCAATCAAAGCCCTTCCCTGAGATCAGTATTTTGACTCTGGGGAAGAGTTGTGGGCAGCTCTAGTCCTGATGCCACCTACACTAGGCCCCCCCACTCTCAATTCCTGAGAGTAAGAAAGCTCTTCTATTAAAGGAGAGAATAAGGAGTTAAAAAAAAAGAGGGGTGGGCAGGCCTGTGAGTCCATGAAGCCAAAGACATCTCAATCATCAATAGCCTCCCTTTTGGGTCCCTCTTTTGGGTCCTCCCAACATTGCCACAGCCCAAAGCCTCTCCCTCACCCCACCCCATTCCATGAGGACCCATAAATTCACCCATGAATCTAAGACTTTGGGGAAATGCTTTACTCTTTCAGTTGCCCCATCTCATGGTCTAACAAATTCCCTACAGTCTTCTTCTCCCAAATATACAGTTGGTGCTGAATCAAAGCATGTTACGTTGGGCTGAGTTACCGCCCATGATACAACAGTAAAAGCCTTGGGCAGGGCATTAGGAAGCCCTCCTGCTTTGCCACTGTGCAGCTGTGCAGCCTTGAGAAAGTCACTTCCCATCTCTGGGCCCCATGTTTGTCCCCTCTGAGCACAAACATCTGCTCCCGTTCTGAAATCCAGTGGTTCCCCTGGCCTGGAGGTGTCCCTCCTCCAGACCTCTGAGTGCTTTCTTCTGGAAAAGCTACCCTTTTAGGAAAAGATAGGACTTAACAAGGTAGAATCAGGGGCTCCTTGAGGACTTGATATGCAGAAGGTGCCCAATAAATGCTTGTTTAACGAGTGGCTCCCAGACAGTTACAGTCACAACAATGACAGTAGGGGTATAAAGTGCCTGCCCCCAGCACTGGCTGTGCCACGCCCTATGCTAAGGGCCAGGGCCGGGCCTGCTTTCTCTCATCCAATGCCCCCACGCCCTGGGCCCGACAGAGTCCTACACATCAGTACTGTGATCAACTGGGCTTCTTGATCTCCATTTCGCAGACAAGGTGACTGAGGCTTAGAGACGTGAAATACTTGCCTGCGGTCCCAGAGCTGAAATGGACCCTTTGCTGTCCCACCCCAGGGGGCCCCAGAGTCTGAACCAGCTCAGACACGTTGGGTTCTGCTGCATACCAGGCCAGAGAGTCCTGGGATCCCCCTGGGGTGTATGTGCCCAGAAGGCATTGGGGCACGTTGTGGGGACAGGCCTGGAAATGCCCAGGAGGGCACTGTACCCACAGGAAAGACCCAGCTCAGAAATGCAGGCTGAGGTGAGTCAGACCCTGCTTGCTAACACTTCCTAGTACCATGCCTGCCACGTCCCACTCCAGGCATCTGGGGAGATGACCTCATTTAACTCTTTCATAGATGCTCACAACCACCCCATGAGGTGGGGACTGTTGACACCTTCATTTCACACATGAGAGAACTGAGGTCCAGGGTTAAGTGCCTTCACTTATGGTCACGAAGCCAGGAGGTGGCAGGGCCAGGTGGGAACCAAGGAGTCAATGCAGGGAGTCTAACTCCAGTGTGGTGTTCCCAACCCCTAAGACAAACTGCTCAAGCAGAGGTGAAGGCCTAGGGTGAGGGGTTGTGGGAACAGACCCTGGCTCACCTGGAATCAGTTCACACACAAACCTGCCTCCACGCCCAGGGCCCAGGAGAATGTTTTCTGGGGATGAAAGCTGACTCACTTCTGAAAATTAAGGCTTTGTGTTTCAGCTCCTGGTTTCCCTCATGGAGCAGATGGAGGCCTGGGGAGGGACGGGAGCCCCACAGAGAGTTCCAGGCACTGCCTCTGGAGAGGGGACCCCTGACCTGAACTTTCCCTGGGGCCAAGGGAGCCCTAGGGACCTGGGCCACCTGACATCTGCAGCCTGGTGGGTCCTGGGGACAGGGGAGAACCATGCATATTTGAGGCATACTTAGCCTAAAAATGATTTGTTGACTATCTGAAAGTCAAATTGAACTGGGTGAGCTGGGCTTTTGTTTGTTAGTTTTCTAAAACCAGCAACCCTAATTAGCGTCCATCCAAGTGTGGAGTTGGAGCTGGTGCCGGCCCCCTGACCTGCCAGCTGTCGACTCTTCTGTTGCAGGTTAGTGGAGCAGTCTGGAGGGGGACTCAGGGGAGAGGAGTACCAGGGGCTCTACCCCTGGCCCAGAAGGGCTCCAGCACTAACCAGCATAGCCCCACAATGAGACCAGGGGGCAAGGAGCCCTGCCATGGGGTCCAGAAGAACAGCTCAGCCTCACGCTGTGTGACTAGGGTGTGCCACTGCTCCTGGGCGACTGCCAGTCTCTGTGCCTTACCTGTGTTAATGCTATCTCCCTACTTCACAGAGGAAGTGAAGGAGACTCAGAGGCGAAGCCCTGGCCCAGAGACATAGTTTAGAAAGTCACGGGGCCCAATCTGAAGCCCAGAACTCACTCTCGCCACCTCCACCCATGCCTGGGATTGGCCTGCCCAGGCCCAGTGGCCAATGGGCAAAGGAAGAAGGGAAGGACTGACCGTGCGGTTATGGGGCTGGGGCTCAGAGGCATGGATAGGCCGGTTCAGGCTGGGCCTGCCCACATAGACATCGTGAGCTGGTGCAAAGGCAGCCAGCAGCTGCAGCAGCGCTGGCGGGTTCACGTAATTGTCGTCATCCACGTGGCAGAACCACCTGCAAAAATTAAAAGGGGGAGGCAATAAGCCTAGGAAGGTTCCTGGGGCCAGAGGGTCCCCCAACTTGTCTCCCACCCGCAGGGCTGTCAGGGAGGAGGTGGGGAGAGAGGCAGAGTGACTAATACCCAAGGCACCTGTATTGTGCCAAGCAGCATCTCATGGAAGCTCATGGAGAAGGTGTACGTATAACAAGTGAGGACTAAGACTCAGAGAGGTTAAGACACTAGCCTAAGGTCACACAGCCCATGAGTGCCCAGATTTAAACCCAGACAGACTGTCTAACCCACTGAGCTTCACCAAGTCAGCCCCAGGAGTCAGTCCCTATATAATTATACTCCCTGGGCCCTGGTGGTACATTAGTTAAGAGCTCAGCTGCTAACTGAATGTTGGCAGTTCAAACCTACCAGCTACTCCATAGGTGAGTGGTGACGCAGTCTGCTTCCATAAAGATTTACAGCCTTGAAAACCCTATGGGGGCAGTTCTACTCTGTCCTTTGGGTCGCTATGAGTTGGAATCGACTCAATGGCAATGGGTTTGGTTTGGTGGTGTAGTGGTTAAGGTATTTGGCTGCTAACCAAAAGGTTGGTAGTTTGAACCCATCAGTCCCTCTGCAGAAGAAAGATGGGGCAGTCTGCTTCTATAAAGATTTACAGCCTTGGAAACCCAGTGGGGGTCATTATGAGTCAGAAGCAACTCAATGGCAGTGAGTTTGGTTTTTAAGACCACCTTCCTTTTTGACAAGACACTTTTTTACAAGTCCTTGCCTGAGGCAAAGGCTACCCCTGTCCCCAGAGACCTGGCAGCACTCACCTCAGCCCACTGGCCAAGAAGGCATCGAACTCAGCAGCCATCTTGCAGGACAGGGCTGGGTGGCTGTGCTCAGCAGAGCAGTTGGTGACCACGAGATGGGGTCCTGGAGAAGTGAGGAGGGGTCAGAGGCCCTGCACCCCATGAGAATGGGGAGCAGGGCTTGGTCTCGGAGAGCCTGGCACAGCCCACTCCCTCCCATTTCATAGGTGGGAAGACTGAGGCCCAGGGAAAGCTGCCACGCCTGGGACCACAGAGCTAATCAACAATAAATGAGCCTTGTCCAACACAGCCCCTCCCCACACCTGCACTCTGTTTCTGGGGAAGTAGCCTGCTCCCCTCCTTGGCAAAGGGGGATCCCCACATTCCCAGAAATTCCCAGGGCAGCACGCAGCACCCCACCCAGGCCAGGCAGTTACCCAGTCTCTCCTGGAGGCCTTCATCAGGGCTGTCAGTGAAGACAAACGTCTGGGGAGGAAACAGAGATGGCAGGACTCAGGTCGGCCCAGAGAAGCCCCAGAGCCAGCCCACAGACCCCACAGCCAACTCCTGAAGAACTGCCTCCAGTGGGACACAGACAGCAGACTTCTGTCCTCCTTCAGTGACAGACACACATCCCTCTCACAGTCACACACTCCTTTAGGACCACATGACCTTGTCAGCTACTCTCTCTCCTACAGCAGACACACACTTTTTATAAAAAAAAAATACATGTTATTGAAATGTAATTCATGTACAGTGAAATACACAAAACTAAAGGCACACACACACTTTTGTGGATACACACCACCATGATCCACACCAGCCCACTATCTCACACTCCACAAACCTGCACCACAGGGCCCAGCCACGTCCACACCTCCCTGACAGAATCACACCCTCTTCTATCCCTCCCCCACAACACACACATGTGCACACGATCTGAACCATCACCCTTCCACAACCACGTATACACACACATTGTTGTTGTGTACCATAGAATAGATTCCGACTCATAGTGACCCTATAGGACGGAGTAGAGTTACCCTACAGGGTTTCCTAGGCAGTAATCTTTAAGGGAGCAAATTGCCAGGACTCTCTCCCACAGAGCCACTGGTGGGTTCAAA